CTAGTGCTGAAAAAGAAGAACAGGAGAAATCCATGTAAGACAATATGAAATCCTTACATGAGAATACACCTTTGATCTGGTCGAGCTACCAAAAGGCAGACGGGCTTTGAAGAACAAATAGGTATACAAACTCAAGGTGGAGGAACAACTCGAAGTCGAGGTATAAAGCCCAAATTATGGTAAAAAGGTGAAATCAGAAGAGAGGCATAGACTTTAAGGAGATATTCTCATCATGATGAAGATGACATCAATAAGAACTGCTCTAGGCATTGCTGGCACTCAAGACTTGGGGTCAAACAGCTGGATGGGAAGAAGACCTTTCTTCGTGGACACTTAGGAGAGCCTATACAGCCTGAAGCAAGCACTCCGGCAGTGGTACATAAAGTTTGAGTTCTTCATGACTCAGCACGAATTCAAGAAGACTCATGCAGATCACTGTGTTTTTATCAAGAGGTATGATGTCGACTTCATCATCCTCTTGCTCTACGTAGATGACATGCTAATAGTAGGGAAAGACACGAGGAAGATTAATGCCCTCAAAAAATCCTTGAACAAGTCATTCGATATGAAGGATCTCGGCCCAACAAGACAGATTCTCGGGATGAAGATTGTCCAATATCGCTCAAAGAAGCTGTTGTGGCTATCTCGTGAGAAGTACATAGAGAAAATTCTTAAGAGGTTCAACATGGACCAATCCAAGACGGTCAGTACTCCTCTGGCTGGACACTTCAAATTGAGTCAGAAACAAGGTCCAACCAGTGATAAAGAAAGAGACCAGATGTCAAGGTCCCACATTAGTCAGCTATAGGCGATCTTATGTATGTCATGATATGCGCAAGGCCCGACCTTGTTCATGCAGTCGGGGTTGTAAGCTGGTTTCTGTCGAACCTGCATAGGGAGTATTGGGACGCCGTTAGATGGATATTCAAATATCTCAAAGGCATGGTTAACAGATGTTTGTGCTTTGGGAGAGGAAAACCCAAGATAGGAGCCTACTTGGATGCCGACCTGGGTGAAGATGACGACTCGAGAAAGTTGACCACAGTTGCCTGACTACCTTTGTAGGGGGAGATATTTATTGGCAGTCTAAACTCCAGAAGTGTGTTTCCTTATCCACTACCAAGGTCGAGTATATTGCCGCAACTGAGGCATGCAAGGAGCTAATGTGGATAAAGAGTTTTCTACAGGAGCTCGGCCATAGTCAGGAAAAGTATGTGCTAAAGTGTGATAATAAGAGTGCTATACAGTTTGCGAATAACTCAACATTCCATGCACGGTCAAAGCACATAGATGTGCGGTACCATTGGATTTGAGATGTGATGGAAGAGAAATTTCTGCATCTTGACAAAGTCCATACTGACTTCATCTAGTCAGACATGATGACCAAGACGGTTCCAACATGATATCGACGCAGGCTAAAGACTGTCAGGCTCTGTGTCACAACACTTTGGATGTTTATTGCATTAGAAATTATATTCTAGCTTATAAACTCTTTGAATCCTACTCCTTGATTTCCTTGTTTGGGTTCTAATTTCCACAAAAGTAATATCATTTTCTCTTATTTTTCCTTCATTTATTTTTCTTGTTAGAGAAAGATAATGAGGCTAAGGGAAAAGAAGGGGGGAAAGTATGGAAAAAGAAAATTGTTGGGACATTATAAATATGTGGTAATTCGAAAGATATCATCTAACCAACATAAAGAAAACATGAAACCAATAACAAAAAGCATTATCCTTTGTTTTTTTCCTTTTCTCAGAGGATATCCGTTTAGTATTGTCTTATGACATCTTTTTTCTTTCTTTAATTTTTGGGAGGGGGCATCCATATTCAATCGCTTTTATTTCTTGTTATAAGTCCTTGCAAATAAGTTATGATATGTTGTTCTTATTATCATTTGTTGGAGGCGCCTTTTATTTCGATTGCATTTCATTGTCTATGATTTCAACGCTTAAGTAGTTATTATATTGCTGTGTCTCTATTCCTCTACAGCTATATGAAATGAGATACTTGAAAGTTGTTGTTGAAGGTGTGGATAGACTCAAGAAAATTGTGAACTTATAATTGTTGATACCGGTGGGCGACACAAAAAAGAAGCTGCACTTTTTGAAGAAATGCGCCAAGTGTCGAAAGCTACGCGATCGATTTTAATTTTTGAGATCTATCTGGACTGAATTGTGATAAAATCGTCTATTATTATTGATAAATAACCTGATTTAACTCTATTTTAAATAAAAAAGCAAGGTTTGTTGTTGGACCTGGAGCATATGACAATTTCTGCATAAAGAGCTAAAATTGGCATAAAGGAACAACAACTTTTTAAATTTTTTCAATGGGCTCCAAAGCGAACAAGATAACTTGTGTAATTTTTTTAATGCAGATAACAAGACAAAAAGGATAAAGAGCAAGGTGCAAAAGTGATTAAGCCACAGAAGACAAAAGCTCTTAACAAACCAGAAAAAGCAAGGCAACATAGGCAAAAAGAAATCACTTGGACAAGAGAGAAAAAAAAGGTTAACCAAAAAAGCTGGTCACAAAGGAAATGCCTTCTCATGAGAAAAGTAAATTTCAAGCTGAGCTAATAACTTCTATTGAATGAAATCAGTCTAAGCCAATGAATGCAAAAGAGAATGAAAGGATTTTAGGTCTCTATCTAGTATAAAGGCACACCAATCATCATGATTTTTTATTCTCTACATTAAGAGAGGTCTTTCTGTGCAACGGTTGCACATGCAATCTCCATTCAAAAATTACACTGGATTAAAATTATATTTTTTCTGTCTTCTCCATACAACACCTTTGTTCTCTCTCATGCGTTGATTGGCCCGTCACACCGAGTCAGTGGTGCGATTGGAGTACCTTAAAAATTTCCCTCCATTAGCTCAGGAGCAATGTTATTAAAATCGTCCCGGTTATTGATCTGGTCGAGGTACCGGATCACTGGGTCACTGGTTGAACCGCATGACCCGATGCTTATATGTAAATCTATAATTTATATTAAAAAATTATAAACATACTCAAATAGCTAAAAAAATTAATATAAATTTAAATTTTTTAATATAAAAAATAATAAATTATACATTATTGTCCAATAAAGGATCAAACAAACATATAATATTTGTAATACTAGTGTTTCAGGTTCAGTAAATGATATCTCTAACTATAAATCAAATTAAAATTCCCTGCATAGTCATAACTGAGATAATATTAATATTTTAGAAACATAACTTATGTAACTCAATAAGCAACAAATCACTCAAATATATCAATTATTAATTTTTTTTGGAATTTTTTTTTAAAAAAATCGGGCTGGGTCACCGGTTTTCACCAAAACCGGTCGGGTCAGATCGGGTTTGATACTTGGCTGATCCAATATAATAACCGGACCGGTCAAATAACCGATTCACCGGATTTCGGGTCGACCCGGCTGGTCCGGTGCGGTTTTCACAACATTGCTCAGGAGTCTCGATCCATTCTGCAAAAATAATTTCTTCTTAATTTTCATTTTCGGGAATTTAGTTTCTATGCTAGGATTTATGATGTTTCTGTCTTTGGATTCCTTTTCTTTTGTTATAGACTCAAACATGCTACATAACTGTCACAACATGTGTAGTTGACATTTGTGATTTTGTGTAGTTGACATTTGTGATTTAAGTACCTTAGTAATAAAACGTGGATATATTTTCACTTTAAAATTGCTTATGTAACTGATCTCAATTGGTTACTATAGGAATTATCTCCGGAGCAAATTCTCAAATTCGGATCTAGATCATATGTTGTGGTATTGCTCCTTAACAATTTCTCATAAGTCACTCCAAGAATTAAGGTTATCATATACTCGATTGAAAGGTTTTGAAAGCTGGATCTTACTTAAAAATACATAAGGCAGAACTCTAAGTAGCTAGATTAGTACGAAAAGAATCTGTGCTAATACTAAAGCAAATGAGTAACATTTCGTTACCGTGTTCCAAGAGCAGAAAACATATGTTCCGACTAGTTTCTCTCTAATTGTATCATCTCAACTCATTTTAATTTGATTACAATTGTTATTTGCTTAACTTTTTGAATAAATAAAGAGTTTGTTTTTTATGCAGTTACTGCATATAAATTATCTGCAATAAGCTAAATATGACGTCGTTTTAAAATGAAAATGATGGTATTTTTATAATTTTAATTTATTTCAAGGTTATAATAATCTTTATATTTATAATTTTTTAAGATTTTAATACTAAAACGACGTCGTTTTGGGTATAAATGCAGATAAATTATTTGCATTAACTGCAAAAATATTTTTTCCATAAATAAAAGCTCAAAAGCATTTACATTATTGCAATTTACAGCTTAATTCACTCTACTCTCGATTTAGTAACAATTGTTCCATGAATCTGTTCATATTAATTATTGTTTCAATTAACTTCCTTGAACTCTGGAACTCAAAGTCTTATATTACTTAATATGTGCACTTACAATATAAGAGCTCAATGATTACTCCAAATTACAAAATTTTAATATGGCAATACATGATTGAATAATAACGTTAAAAACTTTATACGAAGCACAGTAATTAAACTCTAAATTTCCAAACTCTGGGTACAAAATCAGGATCCACTTTTTTGTAGTTACTACAGATTTTTGTTTTTTGTTTTTTTTTTATAACAAAATCAGGACTCACTCGTTTTGAAAAAGAAAAAAAAAACTCAAGATTCCCCAGCATATCCGAGCTTTTCTATGTGTCGCTAGAGAATTTTTATTTTTTTTTGCAACAACAGCAAAGTTATATTTCCCATAAAATTAATAGTAAAACTGTCAATCATCAAACTAATCAATTGTTAAGTGTAACCTGTCAAACCAGCTGGGCAGTGGGTTAACATGGTTTCTGTGAGTTGGTCTTACGCGGTCTATCGGACAAGCATAAAATAAGCAAAAGATCTAAACACTTTACAAGATTTTCGTGAGTTCAGATCTAAATATTATTAAATTGAGATTTCTCAGCAAAACCACGCCATATTATTAAATGTATAATGCTTAGGCCTAACGTTCGTTTGGAGGATTCCAATATTTAGTCTTGGTCCAGATAGAGATAGATAGAAAAACTTTATTTCTGAAGAGATTGTACTGGAAATACTAGTACCCAGTCAAATTGAGAACAAAAATTAAAAACGAAATCAACCAGTTTCTATCTATATTTGAGTTCCTCTTCGAATTGAAGCAACTTTTCCCGAACAGGCTCTAAAAATAGCTTCAAATCGTTGCATATGTCTATCTTTTCTTGATGCAAGATATCCCCTGCTTCACTTAGTCTCACCTCCATCTACACAAGAAAATTTGCCACAAGTAACATACAGATCATCTAAGCAAATCACTAATCATAATTTTAATTAAACAGAGAGGTGAATTATACATGCAAAAAATAATCAAAACCAATATCGTAACAATTAAAACGGTCCTCGATATTTTACCAAAAAAAAAAAAAAAAGTCCTCGATCCGATTGGAATGGGATCAACACAGAAAGGGTTGCTAGGAAGCGATAGTGCCGATAAAAAAAAACTCTGGCCAGAAAAGTTGCCAGGAAATTCGTTGGACGGCATAGCACTGCAACCGACCAAGTCAAAGTCAAAGGACAAGTAGGTATGAGGCTCAGCAATGAAGACGCCTGCTGCGAAGTCTCCCACTGGTATCAAATTGAATATGCAAAATTGGATCGCATCAGACCACACAGAGGGTTTATTTATAATGGTGAAACAGTAATTACATGTTGGGCTTGGTTAGGGTTGGCAAAACGGGCTAACCCGACCCAACCCGCATTCAACCCGAAAAAAAGAGTCGGGTTAGGATTGACTCGAAACAAAAAACGAGCCAGAAAACCCAACCCGACCCGAGTCGGGTTAGGGATGGCTCAAAAATATGGCTCGTGGGTTGGCTTGAAAAAGTAGCTCGCGAGTTAGCTCGAAAATTGGCTCGCAAGTTGGCTCGAAAATTGCTCGCAAGTTGACTCATTTTCAGCCTATTTAAACGACCCTATAGTATTAATGCACCAGCTACGTGACTTCCATCTTAAACAAAGGGTTACAAAATGAGAAATAAAAACAAAATATTTTAGTTTCGAATTTTCTTCACAACAAATTTGCATCAACATCAAGAACAATCAGAACCATTTGCTACCAAGTGGATAAGATATTTGAACCAAACAGAACCAGCACAGCTAACAATATAAAAATGGCAGAGATGTGAGAAGATGAAGGGCTTAGGTTTAGAGAAGGAAGAAAAATGATGACAACATGTGTGAATTTTGTCCATTTTTGTATATTATATTTTGTATTTTTAAAAAAAAAAAAAAAAAACTCAACCCGCGAGCTGGCTCGTTTGACCCGCGGGTTGACTTGTTTTTTCACGAGCTGGCTCGGATCGAGTTGACTCGGGTTGACAGTTCATTTTTGCCAACCCAAACCGGCTCATTTTTTACAGGTTACGAGCCAACTCGACTGGTTGGCTCGTTTTTGCCAACCCTGGGCTTGGCCTTTCCTTATCTACATGATACTCTAGATGATATTATACAATTACATAAATATCCTCCTACGTATATTCTAACATATATTAATAAAACAACGAATATTTTCTAAAGCTTGCATTTGGGTAAAATCCATTTATTACCCTCTTCCCCTTCCTCTACTGTCTACATATAACCATCACCTGTGGGTCCCAACACCTGTTTTATCATTGCAAGGATTTACATATAAATAACCCTCGCTGATGGCACAACACGCTTTACATGGATTTATCCTCTAAAACAAAAATATGAAACACACTATGTTCAAACATTTTCATTGCCTTTTTCTCACTCGATTTAACCTGCCATCGAGTCTGTTCATACAAACCAGGGGGTGAATTTCGCCCATTCACTCAATTCCTTAAAGAACTAGGTGCAATTCACAGACTAATTTTTCCTCACACACCCCACCAAAATGGTTTGATAGAAAAAGGAAGCGTTGTCAAATTGTTGAAATGGGCTTAGCCCTTCTAGCCCATGCTTCTCTTCCATTCAAGTAGTGGGACCATGCTTTTCTCACAACAGTCTGTCTCATCAATAAATTACCTACTGCTGCTCATAATTGTCGAATTTCCTACTATCAACTCAATAAAACTCTACCAGATTACAGTTTTCTATGTATTTTGGGGAGTGCTTGCTACCCTCTCCTTAGACCTTACGATAAACACAATCAAAGGAGAGCATTTTCTTATTTACTCACCCATTCAGAAGGGCTATCAGTGCAACCTTAAAATAAATACAAATTAAACTATAGATCAAAGGAGTATATTTTCTTATTACTCACCCAATCACAAGGGCTATAAGTGCCTAAGCCTAGATGGCCGAATCTATGTACCCAAAGATGTGTTCAATGAATCCAGGTTTCTTTTTCCCTCCCTGTTTCCACCATAAGTCATCTGATAATTCCACAAACACTTACTCCGTTTCCAGCACTAATTTTTCCTTCTCTTTTTCCCAACTTAAAGAGTGTCCCTTCCAACTCTCCCCTTCATATTCCATCCTCTCCATTCCTGCCAATCTCTTCCGCTCAGCATCTCAACCAATCCCATCTACTTCACACTCTTCCTCACCATATAGTGAGTTGAGTCTTCTAATTCTAATACATCAGCTAACTCTTCCTCCAAGTCTAACTCCACACAAAGTCAGTACTTCCACCTCCTACTCCCTTCAAGGTCAGTCTAACTCCACACAAGGTAAGCCTTCACCTTTTATGTCTTCACCTCCTACACAGAATCAGTCTTCTCCCACTCAAAGTCAATCTTCCCCTTCCCCAAGTCAAACTGCTCTTTATCGGACCTCAACTTGATACACCTTGCTCAAACACTTTATCCTATTCCTCTTCAGGTTCTGAATACATTCCCTCCTCCATTGGTTGATCCCTCTATTTTTACAGCTCATATAGAGCCAACCAGCGTCAAACAGGCCTTTGCCGACCTACACAGGCTTTAGGCCATGCAGTAGGAGTACACAGCCCTCCAGGAAAATGGTACCTGGTTCTTGGTTCCTCTAACTCCTTCTCGGACACCTATTGGCTGCAAATAGGTGTTTATTAAGGAGAACTCAAATGGCACTGTAAATAAATATAAGGTCAGACCAGTGGGAAAGGGATTTCATCAGCAATAAGACTTTGACTACAATGAGACATTTTCTCATGTAGTCTACTAATGCTAACATTAGAACTCACAAGTGCCTGGACCGTACAACAACTTGATGTTAACAATGCCTTCGTGAATTGCGACCTTGTTGAAGAAGTTTGTATGTTCCAACCACCAAGATTTGAGGTGATCGATAAATCACTGGCGTGCAGGTTGCAAAAAGCTCTTTATGGACACAAACAACTTGGGTTCACGTCTAGCAAATGTGATCTCTCTCTTTCACTCTCCAGGCTAATGGCCATTGCACCTATATCTTTGTGTATTTAGATGACATAATAATTACTGGTAGTTATTCTATTCTCATTCAGCAGCTCATTGGTCAATTGAACTCCAAATTTGTACTGAAGCTACTGGGTAATTTGTAATATTTCCCTGACATTGAAGTCAAGCATCTTTCCCAAGGAAGGATGCTGCTGTCTGTTAGCATCGAATTTTACTCACTTTAACAGAAGTAAAAATATATCCCACTACAGTAAAAGGTAAAAAGAGAGGCAATTTGATGTTTTCACTTACCTTTGTTACCACTTTACTGCAGATACAAAGTCACGTGACTGTTTTGCTTAAGTGGAGAGATCTAAACTGTGGATGAAGATGTGGAATGGATGGCTAGCAAAGCTTGGAGCTGTTTAGTTTAGTTTTATTAAGAATCTGAGTCCTCTTAGAGAAGAGACACTAGTTTAGTTTCAGTTTCTAGTTTTCATTTTCTTTAGTTTTTCAAGCTTCTATCTGTACCAGTGCATGTGAGGCACTGATCTTGGAGGAATCCAAGAAACCCAGTTGCATGTGAGCCTTCGATCTGTAATTACAAGTACCATGTAGGATTCTGAACATTTTCTTTTCCTTGTGACTGGTCTGTATTCTTGATCCTGAGCTCTGTTACATTCGAACCTTACATAGCTATAAATGAGTTTACTGCTTTATGATTTTTTTTTTCTGTGTTTACTGTTAAAATGAATTTCTGAATCTCTTTCCTGGGATTCTAAATGATGGAAGAGTACCCATTACATTAAAACTGTTAGAATAGGAAATATCTTACGTATAGATTTGTATAAATTACGTCCTTATTTGTAAATATTTTCCCCTTATATAGGAGTTGGGTCAGGTCTGGGCTTTTCACTTAAAATCATTAGGGTTCACATATATTGTATAGTTTAATACACAACATATTATTATTTCATATTTCCATATTCTCAAGTTGGTACCAGAGCTCTTTTGTTCTGGGGACCCTCACTTTCGCTTAAAACCCTAAGCCCGCTGCTTAGGTGTTCTCTTTTCCTTCTGTGTGTCCTTACAGCAAGTCATCTAAGTCATGTGCCCCTTCAGATCGCTTTCTATACCTGTCAGCACCTTCGTTCGCCGCCAGAATCACTGTCCATCACTGTTCACAGTCACAGGAGAACTTTCCCGGTGACGATTTCAACCGGAAAACCTGCGATCAGAACCTCCTCTCTCCAGCGACCTGTTTAGTGGAAGACTCATCACTGTCGAAGCCTCCACGCACAGCTTCTTCCCTCTACGCGTGGTGCTCACTTGCCACCTCTCACCAGTGCGTGTGCACTGTTCCAACGCCCTTTTCCGGCCATTCCAGGACAGAATAGATCGATTTCTCCTCCCTTTTCCAGATCTGCCCTTGGTTCTTCATGGGTCTCACTTTAGGCGTGTCTCTTCTTGATTGGCTATCGGTTTGTTTTTATTCACTTGCTTCTGTACCTTTGTGATTTATTTTAATGGCAGAAACTTCTCCTGTTCACTCGAAGGTTAATTCTCTTCCTCCTCCTGCCAAAAGTTTCTAGAGTATCATCTCCACTAATATTGGGCGCATTACCTCCTCCAAACTGAAGGGTTCTATTAATTACAAGAATTGGGTCACCTCTGTTCGAGTCTGGTCTTTTGGACAGGGGCATGGGCGACATCTCACAGTTAAATCTACTGATATTCCTAAGGAAGAAAAATCTAATTGGGAAAGGATTGACAACCAGCTTCTGAGTATTTTTTGGCAGTCTATTGATCCAATCGTTTTGGATATTTTCCATTCTTTTCAAAATGCAATGAAGTGTAGGAGGAAGCAAAACACCTCTACACTAATGATGTTTAGCAGCTCTATTCTA